TTGATCATGGTAGCGGTTGCTGCACCCTTGGTGGTCTAAGACTTCAGTGTTGTCCTGAGGAGGGTGTCCTTCCTGGAAATTCATCCTAGAACCTTCTCCTCCAGTCTTGGAACAATTTTGAAGGCACCTGATTCCCTGTGTTAAAATTCATTCTGCTTAAGTTAGCCTGAGTGACTTCTGTTACCCACGGCCAAACCCTGACTAATGGGTGGATTCATGTGGGCATGAAATACCCACACTCACTCACAGTTATCTCCTTTAAAAAATTATTTTACTGTTAGTGAGATGGACCATCTTTTCAAATATTTATTGGCTATATGTAAGTCTCTCCTTGGGAGCTACCCCTGCTAGTATTAGAGTTTCTTTTTAAAAATCATTTTTTAGGGGCGCCTGGGTGGCTCAGTGGGTTAAAGCCTCTGCCTTCGGCTCAGGTCATGATCCCAGGGTCCTGGGATCGAGCCCCGCATTGGGCTCTCTGCTCGGCGGATAGCCTGCTTCCCTCTCTTTCTCTGCCTACTTGTGATCTCTGTCTGTCAAATAAATAAATAAAATCTTAAAAAAAAAATTTAAAAAAATCATTTTTTAGAGGCTCCTGGGTGCCTCAGTCCTTAAGCGTCTGCCTTAGGCTCAGGTCATGATCCCACAGTCCTGGGATTGAGCCCTGCATTGGGCTCCCTGCTCAGTGGGAAACCTGTTTCTCCCTCTCCCACTTCCCTGCTTGTTCCCTCTTTAGCGCGCTCGCTGTCTCTCTCTCTCTCTCTCTCTCTCTCTCTGTGTCAAATAAATAAATAAAATCTTTAAAAAAAATAAAAGTAAAAATCCCTTAGAAAAAAAAATTTTTTGGTGCCTCTGTGTCACCAAACTAAGGCACATCAAGATTAATGAACTTGCCCAAGGTCACAACTAGGAAGGATTCCAACCCAGGCTACTGGTCAGAGGTCATGCTGTTCACCCCCAATCCAAGGGCCATAGAGGACTAGGGCTAAGTTCCTTTTAGTTCTGAGCTCTGCTTTCTTTGCATTGAGCTCCCCATCGAACTGGTTCTCCAGTCCTGGGTTGAGTAGGTCGGCTTCAGCTGGCAGATCGTTCTATGCAGAACCTGAATCCCCAGCCCTTGGTTTAGTTCACAGTCCCCCAGTGGTTGCAGATTCCTTTCCCAGCTCCAGCCTGCAGTCTCCATTTACTAGTCTGCCGGGTTAGCCCACGCTGAGAATTGCTGGTGGTGTGCATGGCCTTCTCTTGGCCAGTCGCAGTAGCATTTCTTGGGCGCTGCTGGTGTGTTGAGATGCATGCATTTGTCTTGTGTCATGTAAGTAAAGGTTATTGCTAATCGGGATCTCCAAAGCCAAAACACACAGAAATTGGTGGTCACGGGTCAAGAACTTAAGAGCTATTAGAGCAATTGCCCCCAAACCCAAAGACTCCTAATATTAGGATAATCTGATCACGGAACAGGTTAAATTGACATTCTGTCACTCACCAGCCTCAAGAAAATTGCTACGAAGTGAGGTACACCATGAAACACTGCACAACCTCACCCAGTGGCACATCCCTTTTAGCCCTCAAAACCGAAAGGCTTGGGCAACAAGATTCTTAAACGTTAAAGAGTCAAATGTCCCACTTTCTGACACACCTGCTTATTCTGTGTCCAAGAACGAGACTCCTGTAAGCTATAAATTATCTACAAAGGTGGCCAAGTCCTACTATGCTTGTTTTGTGCCCTGAGAACTTAGCCTGGTAATCATCAGGTTGGGGCCCCAAAATGCGGCCAGACTGAAATGTGGGTTGTACCTCACTTTTAGGTAGGGTCCTAGCAAACTGCTGCTAGCCCTTGGGGGCAATTATAATGATCATCATGAGGAATGTTCCAATTAGATAAGATCATTTAAGAAGTGCACTTAAAAGTCCCCAAATTAAATAAACAGAATGCTATACCTGTTTTAGTGGGTGTACAAACCCTCCAAAAGTCTTCGAAATTCCAAAATAGCCTTACTGAAAGATGTGTTGCAAAAAGTTAATGAAAAAGTTGGGGTACCTTGGGTGGCTCAGTCAGTTAAGCATCTGACTCTTGATTTCAGCTCAGGTCGTGATCTCAGGGTCCTGGGATTGAGCCCCACGTCAGGCTCTGCACTGGACATGGAACCTGCTTGAGAGTCTCCCTCTCCTTCTGCCCCTCCCTGCATCGCCCCCTCCTGCACGCTCTCTCCCTCTAAAATAAAATTTAAAAACTCCGAAAAATAAAAGATGATGTAGGTACTTAAAAGAAAAGATGGTAAGACCAATGTGACTCCTACTGATTCCTCCTTCCTTCTTTGTTTTAGGAGGAAGCAGTCTAGTGTTTAAAAACAAAACCAGGATGGAAGGACACCTGGGTGGGTCCTTCAGTTGAACATCTGACTTCAGCTCAGGTCATCTGAGGACCCTGAACTCTGGATCAACTCAGATCCCAGAGTCCTGGAATCAAGCCCCACAGCAGGCTCCCTGCTCAGCGACACGTCTTGTTTCTTTCTCTCTCTCTCTCCCTTTCTGATCACCCCCCTCAAATAAATAAATAAAATCTTACAAAAAAAAAAAAAACTAACCAAGAAAATTTGAAGATCTAGTTGTTTTTATTCAAATATTCCTGAATAGGGTAGCATCCCATCTAGCTAGCAGAAAGGGGCTCTGAGGCACTGTATGGGAAATGGGAGACTTTTATAGGCAGAAACGGGCACGACAAGGAAGTTATTAGTGAAAGAAAACAAAAGATTGTTTCAGACCAGATCACCTTCCTTTGGAGGACAGGGAGGCAAGGTGGGTCTTCAGGAATTTCTAGATTGACTGCTTAAAGGTCAGTCACATCCCTGCAGTTAAGTTTCAGTTCAGTGTCATAGGGGCAAATGACTCCACTGGAGGCCTCTTGTTTCTCTTTCTCACTCCCCCTTTATTTAGAGAACTCAGGAGAGAGAGTGGATAGTTGTAAGAGCAACGTTTGATCTTTCTGAGTAGGCAAGAAGGGACGAAATTTGTAGCAACCGGAAGTATAACCAGAGTAAACGGATGCAGATGCTGGGGGTCCGTGGAACTGACATGGGGAAGAGAATTCTCTTCTGATTGCATCTAACTTCTTGATGAGATAATAAATAGCCATCTGAGAGTCAGTTGGGAGGAGACAGTGGGAGAAGTTTTAGGAGAAGTTGAATTTACTATTGAAATTTTGCAGAATTGTTGGATAAAAACCATGCCGACATGCCAACCATGTGTCATTCCGTCTAGAAGTGACTAGAAGCCTCAGTTCCTGTTCAACACCCCTGAAGAATCCAGGTGAACTCCCCCACCCCAAATGTTGTTAGGATGTTGAGACTCATGACACAGCTTGCATACACGAACGTGTACATACAATCACACACACACACACACACACACACACACACACATATTCTTCATGTGAATTCGCAAATTTTCTGCTGCTGAATGTAGCTGATGGGGAGAGTGTGGGTTCCTGAACAGGGCTCGGAGTGTAGCTTAATCCTCAACAGACTGCCATCAGAGTGTAGCTTAAGCTAACAAAAATAACGTGTTTATGTCATGCCATCCATGCTGAATATTTAAATTTAAAGCACACAAATTTCTTTTCAGTCTGTTCTTGGCGCAACAGCTATTGTGAACCTGATGGTACCATTTCTCTCTCAGCCTCTGTAAGAGCTTCCCATTTTGCTCAGAGATCAAGACCAGGTCCTTGCAATGGCTTAGGGAGCCCCAGATGGGCTGGCTCCCTGTCAGCCTCTGTCTTTGGCTCCTGCCTCTCTCCCTCAACCACCTGCTGTAGCCACACTGGTCTCCTCCCTGTTCCTCTCATACCTGGTTCTTTGCCATCTCTGTTCCTTTTACCTGGAAGGACTTTCCCCCACAATTCTGCCCGACTCCCTCCTCCACCTCCTTTTGCCTTGGTACTTCTTCAAATAATAGATTGCATGACTATATAGTTGTTTATCTTGTTTCCTCTTCCCACCACACTGGCTTATAAACTGTAAGGACAGGTACTTTGATCTTATTTGCCTCGTGCACTATCTCAGTGCCCAGATTGGTGTCTGCCGTGATGGGCCTTCAGTACAGACTTTCCAAATAGCTGAACATTGGCCACTGCAAGGCTTAAGATTATTCTGAAAACCACCTTGTCTTTATTAGAAATCAATATTCATCCTTTTTTTTTAGAACTTTGATCAGATTTCTCATCACCTTTATTATGCAGGGAGTACATCCTGTCCCCAAATTAAATGACAAAGCATTTTATATTAGCTGATGGTGGTGGATACAATGACCAGATCCCCTCTCTATAATAACTAGATTCTGCCCTTGACCGGTGTAGGAGCCAAAGGCAGGCTGCCGAAAATGTGCCACTTGGGTACATCCATTATTTTAAATAAAAACTACTGAAAACACAACGTATGTAGGGACACTAATACCCTCCTCTGTACACCTAAAAGTGTTACCGAACCCATGATCGATCTGCTTACCTCATGACTGCCCAGTAAGTTGAGTGACAAGCTGTTGAAGCAAGGCATAAAATCTATTTGAGAAAGCCCACCGTCCGGGTGGCAGCCTAATGTCCCAGATAACGGTCTTGCCACGGGCAGTTGCTTTTCCAATGTGATCAGACACGAAAGGATGGGCATCTGAAAAGTCTGCCAGTTTGCTACAAAAATCCTCCCCTTTTCAAGGGATTTAATCAGTCCTGGACCTTGGCAGACCTCTGGCTCTGCTGGTTCTCAGTTCTGGGTGTGTCCTCAGCCTGTGCTGGTTTTCGGTGATGTCAGGTCTTAGAGAAGCAACACCCCTGGCTGCTTACATCCCCACTTGACATGAGTGACTCCATCTTGCACTCTACATCCAGCCCCCACCCCCACCAGGTCAATTTCTATTAGTTGGCCAGCCCCCAAACCCAAACTATTTCTTGTTTCAGTTTCCAGTTTCGGTTTCCAATTCCCAGTAAAAATAAAACCTATCCCATTGGTTGTGCTCAAAGGGGGAGTCAAAGAGGAAGTTGCCATAAAAGCCGGGAGTCTGATCTGGAAAACACAGCCAAGCTCAGGCCTCAGGTTGGTTACCAGAGGATCTGCTTCTGGGTAAGACAGAGAGGGGTGGGCAGAGGGGGCTCCTTCCTGAGGCCTCCAGCTCTAGTGGGTGGTAGGCTCAGTGCAGGCAAGGGAAGTCCACGGGAATCCACTCCCAGAAAGCTCTTTTGTTCCTCATCAGGTCAGTCGGGAGGAAGGGTAAGTCCCTCTGGGACGATGAGCCTTGTTCAAGCCTGGGTGGCAGCGGGTGAGGCCAGGGGAAAGGATAAGTGTCAGGAGGATCAAATTGGAATCATTCCAAGCCTAGGCTTTAGAAGCAGCTGGACTTGGGATGTGTCACTTACCCTCTCTGTGCCAGAGGGGTTTCCCCATCTATAAAATGGGGATAGTCGGAGTGCCTGGGTGGCTCAGTGGGTTAAGCCTCTATCTTCGGCTTGGGTCATGATCTCAGGGTCCTGGGATTGAGCCCTGCATCGGGCTCTGTGCTCAGCGGGGAGCCTGCTTTCCCCGCCTCTCTCTCTCTGCCTGCCTCTCTGCCTACTAGTGATTTCTCTGTCAGATAAATAAATAAAATCTTTAAAATGGGGGTAGTCTTCTCTTTGTTCTCACTGTCTTAAGTGGGGATGATGCGGTATCATTGAGCCCAACGGTCAAGAAAGAATTCTTGAGACACTTGATGGTGCTAAAAGGTACTTTTCTTACAGCACGGGGACAGGACCCATAGACAGAAAGAGCTGCACTGGGATTGTGAGGAGCGACTGGTTATTATATATATTGTAATTAGTGAGGATTAGGGATAGTGTCTCTAAGGAATTTGGAAGCAAGGCTTTCAGGATTTTGAGGGGCCAACTGCTGTTAAGATCGGGTTACTTTTAGTCCTTAATAAAACGTACACAAATTTCGGGGTACCTGGGTGGCTCAGTGGGTTAAAGCCTCTGCCTTCGGCTCGGGGTCATGATTTCAGGGTCCTGGGATTGATCCCTGCATCGGGCTCTCTGCTCAGCAGGAGCCTGCTTCCTCCTCCCTCTCTCTCTCTGTCTCTCTGTCTCTCTGCCTGCCTCTCTCTCTGCCTGCTTGTGATCTCTGTCTGTCAAATAGATAAAATCTTAAAAAAAAAAAAGTACACAAATTTCTTGAGGAATGTCATGTTGTACACATTTCAGGTATCTGTCAGGGAGCTCCAAGCTGTAAGGAGATTTAAGTTAGGGTTCTCTTACTTTTGTTTCCCTCATGAAGGGGATGGCATGAGAACAGGAACCCAGAGCAACTGGACGACGGTATATACCTTAAAACGTAATTGGTTCTTATTTCCTAATTCTGATGCCTTTTAAACTGCTCTGTGGGAATTCCAGGATGCAGTCCCGTGTCAGGCTTCCCTGCTTAACAGGGAGCCTGCTTCTCCCTCTGACCACCAGGCCCCCTCGAGCTCTCTCTCTGCCTCTCTCCCTCTCTCTCACTCTTGCTCTCTTGTTCACTCTCTCTCAAATAAATAAATAAAATCTTTAAAAAAACAAACAAACTGCTCTGTGGAAATTTAAGAAATTCCCAGAAATGGCTAAGAAGTTGGCACTGGGCTTTTTGGGAGGAAGGAAGCAGCCGGCTTGGAGAAATAAAGTCCACTCCCCACCCTTCCTTTACCATTTCCAGGACCCTTTCCGGACATCAGGCCCTGACAAGTTCAGAGAGGTCTCTCTGTCCCCACTGGACAGAGTTTTTCAAAGTTGTGGGCATGATCCCCCTCCCTTCTGGGGTCCCCTCCCTGCACCAAAGCTCCATCCTGTTCAAAAAGAAGGAAGCCCACATTGGAGTCATTTGCCCCCAACCGCAGCACACCAAGACTTCAGCACAACATCAACCTGTCCCAGGAAGATGACCTTTGGAAAGTCCATCCGATCTGTCCTGCTCAGCACTAGTGAGGTCATTTGCCATCTGCCTGATACAAACCCTGTTTCCCCCTGATGTCCAGGCCTGAAACAATCCTTTCTTTTCTTTTACTGATGACTCCTCACCTTCCATTTTGCTGCTTAGGAAAGCCTTCATTTTTGCGCAGCTTCTCCAAGCATCTCTCTACTTGCTCGATGGGCTGCTGTCCTATAACCAGGAGTCAGGGCACGGGGCTAACTGCTGACAAAATCCAAAGGCAGAGAGAGAAAAAGAAAGAGAGAGCATGCACACACATGCAGGGGTGGGACAAGAAAGAGATTTATTTCAGTTGAGGCCAACATGGGGAAGACAGTGGGCTAGTGTCCCAAAAGCTGTCTCCAAAGTGCTGAAAATGAGGCCAGGTTTATATAAGGAAAATGTGGGACAGTCGTTGAGTACTGGAGATGGGCAGTGAAGGTCATGGCCTTGGGGTGGGGTTTTTGTTGGTTCGTTTGTTTTAGATATTTATTTATTTATTTATTTATTTGACAGACAGAGATCACAAGCAGGCAGAGAGGCAGGCAGAGAGAGAGCGGGGGAAGCAGGCTCCCTGCTGAGCGGAGAGCCCGATGCGGGGCTCGATCCCAGGACCCTGAGATCATGACCTGAGCTGAAGGCAGAGGCTTAACCCACTGAGCCACCCAGGTGCCCCAATCGTAGGGCCTTTATTGCTGGGGGTTGGGGGTAGTTGGTTCCCACTGCGGGATGCTTTGCCAGATGCTTAACCCAGGCTTCTGCCCCAGTTAAAGATAAGCTGTAAGACAAACCGGACCAATTAGAAAGGAAAACTGAGGCAAAATGGATGTGTTGAGCTCCTTTCAGCCTGACACACGCATGTCAGTTTCTGTGCCACACAATTCGCTCAGGTGGCCACCTTGTCCTCTTCCCTGGTTTCCAAGATAATGGAATCCAGAGTAATACAGCAAGCATGGCCAAAGCCACAGAGGTGGTTTCCGGGGGTGAGCCCTCCCAGAGGGGCTGGTGGGTGGGGGGCGGGGAGGGCGATGGGGAGGGACGGAGTCTATTTCTAGCTTCACCTCCTTGGTTCTCACTGACGTGTCCTGATTTTAACAAAATTCTTCATTCCGGGCCCGTTTTCTTCGTTAGTTTGTGTGAGCTCCCTCTCCAGTCTTAGCCGTTCATTCTTGCTGTTTATCTTCCCCTTTTCCTCCGTTATATTAGAAGAATCCAACCAAGGACATTTTAAAGATCTAATTGACTTTATTTGTAGTCAACTCATGTATTTGGCCAGCTTCCCAATGAGCAAGGAGAGGGGAGCTCCCGGGGGCTACAGAGGATCCAAGTTTTTAAAAGGTAGAAGAGCAGAAAACAAGAAATTATTAGGAGAGAAACCACTGTTGTAGGCAAGGTCACCCTCCTAAGGGGAACGGAGGGGGTCCATCAGGAAACTTCCTAGTGCTCCCTGGGAAATCTCACATTGACTGGTTAAGGGTTATATTCCTGGGGGACTGAAAGTGCAGTCAGGTTAGGTATTAAGTCTCAATTTACACTTGGGGCCTTAACTGAGGGGACACCATTGTGGGGCCTGTGGTTTTCTTTTTAACCGCACGCCCCCCAACCACCCTGCGATACCTCCCTCTCTCAGAGTCAGCCTTTCCAATATGCTTAATGTGTATCTGTTTTTCTTATGTATTTTTGCAAAATGGGTGTTGGCTTTTTGTTTGCATGTGTTTTAATGTATGTATAGAATAGTGTGCTGTTGACTTCACCGTATTGCTTTTTCCACCCTGAGATTGTCAGGGTCACTAGCTGAGTGTCTAATACTGGCTTCCAATTGTTGCAAACATGCCACTTCGCTTCTGCTCTCCTGGTGTGGACACCCCGGGGTCCTTCCTCCTTCCCCAGCACAAACAGCAGCATAGTATGGAAGGGGAGGGCGCGGCCTCTGACCACTGCTGACCTCTGACCCTGTGCACTCATCCTCTGTTCTTTCTCTGGACTCACCCTGTCATCCACAGTTGCCCTGAACCAGGCTACAGCTTCCGTGGGATCCCTGCCAGGGACACTGAAAGCCTCCAGAATGGCAGCATTGATTCTTTCCAGAGCCGGAGGTAACTGGCCCAGGGTGACAGAGTTCCGCTTCTCGGGCCCCCACCCAATACTTAGACCCGCGACAGGTCTCCAGCCAGCAGTCTTTCCTGTTTACCAGTAACACAAAGGACTCCTAAGCTTATGATAAGCAATCCTTAAAATAGTAAGGACAGATAGATTTTATCCCATGCTCTGCCGTCCTAGTCACTCTGCCAAACACTTAACATTTATCAATTGTTTTAATTGCCATAGCAACCCCAGAAGGTCACCATTGTCCCCTATTTACAAATGAGGGAATTGTTTTTGGCCCTGGGCCTTTGGGCAGGGAGGTGGGGTTACTACCAAACCTAAGACAGGAAGTAGAACCAAAATGCAGAGAATCTGGTGTAGGGAGGAGGCCTCAGGACAGAGTGGGTTTCTGAATAGCCTGGAGAGACCAGGCCACCCTCCTATGGATGACAGTTGGGGGTGCCTCGCAGCAGGTTAGCAGGGGAACGGCACCCCTTTCCCTTGGGCCTTCTGTGCACATCGGGACCCAGATAGGCCAAGCTGCCGGCCAGCCCGGCATCACCCTTCCAGCCAAACCATAATGTCCAGCTGCAAGAGTTGGACTCTCACCTTTTAACTTCCCTTCCTATCCCCGGAAGGCTCTCTTCCTGGGGAGCTGGCTGAATTCATTCCTGCACGCTTTTGCAGGCCTGATCCCTATGGTGGCAGCTGACCAGGACCTCTGCCCGCCCCCTAGGGACCCACATGTTGGAGAGACAGGCCGGTGCAAGGGTCTTAGTGCTCTGAGAGGCTGTGGTCACGGGGGGGTAATGCTGAGTCCAGATTGGCTGCCTCTGGGGGGCTTCTCAGAGAAGGGGGCAATAGGTCCAGCCTTGACTCATCTCAAGTAGAGTTCAAGTGCTCAGCAGTGCTTGCCCTGACCTGCTGGGCAGCGCAAAATGAAGCACATCTTTCTCCGTGAGGATTTATTGCTGTCTGGAAAGATCTGTGGGACAACAGGAGAAAGTTATATAATCTCCCCCTAAGAAAACATTGACCCTGAACTAATATCCTTGTTCAGAGAGCAAGGCATCCGGTTCCTTCGCCTCAACCAACACCACCAAGCCCTAAACCACTCTGCCAAGTATCCCTTGTCCACCCGAGAAGGGATGCAGGGCAGCCTTCTGTAGGGGTGTGTTTGTTTTTGTTTTGTTTTGTTTGTTTTAAACAATCAGGTTTGGATGGCAGAGAGAAAGACAAAGATCGTTTTTGCTCTCACCGCAAACAGGCCCCCACCAACCTATCTGCAGACAGATTGAGAAAACAAAGCAGACTCTATGTGATCATTGGGTTTTCTGGAATGAGGACCTCAAACTCTGTCTCCAGATAATTTGAGGTCAAAGCATGCAAATCCATCTGGGACAAGTCATTTGAGTCTGGAATCTGACTCCCCAGCAATCCTTGCCAAGCTCAGAACTGAGGGGCCCCCTTTCCCAGAAATCCCCCTGTCTGAATGCAGTAGGCAGGTGTCAGATGAGGTCATTCCTTCCCATCTCCCAACATGGACAATGCCCTCCCTGTGGGTGGGCGGTAGGCTCAGGGAGCCAAGGGGAGGCTCAGGGAGCCAAGAACTCACAGAATATTCTTTTGGTTTCTAGTCAAGACTGTGGCAGCTGTGATAGGAGGAGGTGAGTCTTTGTAGGGAAGGGGTTCAAGTCCTTATCTGTTCCCCTGAGCCTGGGTCTTGGGGAGCAACCATCTTGTCCAGGCCTAGGTCTGCCCAGGACTTGCGCAGATGGTGGGGAGGAAGTGGACTGGTGGACATGGGGAGGAAGCCAGGAACTGGAAACAAGAATCAAGGAGCTTGGACCAACGGGTGTCATGGAAACTCCACAGTGGAGGCAATCCCAGCAGGGGCCCCATCTCCTCTTTGCAGGCATTTACCCTGTGACCTTGTGGGTGTCTCTGACTTTTCTGAGCTCCTGTTTCCTCTCTGAAAAATGGGCCATGCCCATAGTCTCTCCTGAGCTCAGAGTTCACCCCCTTGCCTGGGCCCCCCAAAGCCCCCTGAGCCTGATTGAGTGTGTGAGGCTCCCTTCCCTTGAGCCCACTTCTTAACGCAACCCAACCCAACCCAACCCAACCCGACAGTCGTGTCTGTGGCGTCCGTGCCCACCGTGCTGGGCGCCGTGGGCTTCACTGGGGCCGGAATCGCTGCCTCCTCGCTAGCAGCCAAGATGATGTCCTCTGCTGCCATCGCCAATGGGGGTGGCATCGCCGCTGGCAGCCTGGTGGCGACACTGCAGTCCGTGGGTAAGTGTCCCCGGGGGCTTGCTGTGAGGGGCGAGGAGGACCAGCGCCTCAGTACCGGGCCCAGATCTTAGCCTCCCCCACCCTCCTTGTCTGCTCCTAAGCGTCACCCTCCAGGTTCTCCCCGGGAGGTGCAGGAGGGAGGCCCCGGGCACGGGGCGTGCTGGCTTCAGGCTGCGGTTGCTGGGTGCCTCGGGGATCTCTGCCCTGCCTGGGCTCAGCCTTCTTCCCTGGAGAGGGACAGCTCCCAGCTCTGGGCTTCTCCATGGGGGTGCTCGCCAGCGGGCTGCGGGCAGTTGCCCTCCCACAGCAGAGATCTGGAGGGCTTTCGGAAACGGGAGGATGCTGACTGGGGCCCCGGGCCTCAGACCTTCCTGAGGGGCCCTGGAGTCTTTGACCTCTCAGTTTTGTCCCACAGAGCTGCCCCAGGTCTGCTCCTTACCACTCTGCTCACCCTCTCCTCCCCCAGGAGCAGCAGGACTCTCGCTGTCAACCAAGATCATCCTGGGCTCCCTGGGCTCTGTGCTTACGTTCCTGAGCTTCTAAGAGTTTCCCTCCTCTCTGCCTGCAAAGAAGAGGACGGCGCTCCTCCGCCCCTCCCCACCCCCCACTCCCCCCCATGCAGGGAGGGACCAGTACCTGGCTGACAAGTGTGCCCTAAGCAAAATAAGCAATAAAAATTGTAGTTGCAGCCCATCCTGAATCCCTTCCTTCTTGCTCGAAGTTGGGGGCGGGGGCGGGAAGGGGGTCCAGGGAGGGTGGGTCACTCCTCTTTCCCAGTCCTGTGTCCGGAGCAATGTGGTGTAGGGGTGCAGGGTGCACTCGGCTAGGATGTGCCAAAACGTGGGGGCAGGTGGCTGCCCCCACCCTGCTTGTGACTCTGTGTGACTCGGGGCAGCCCACCTCCTCTTTGGCCCTCATTTGGCCTCTGGGCATGGGGAGTTGGTCTAAATGACACCAAAGGTCTCAGCCACGGGTGGGTGTTTGGCTCAGTTCCTAGGCAGTCTGGAACGGGGTTGAGGGAGACGGGGGACCGGCAGGGAAGGACATCCTCTTCAGAGCCACCACCTCCCAGCTGCAGGTCTAATGGCTCTGTCCTAAGTGGCCTGGCTCTGAAGGCCCAGGCCCATATGAGTCTTTGCTCCAGACTCAAGTCTAAGGCCACCGTCCAGCCTTTGCCTTTCTCCTCAGCAGCTAGAAGGCAGATCGAGTTTGCTGAGGCTCTGACCTTTCTAACTTCAGGGCCGTGACTCACCCTTAAATGTCGTTCTCCCAGAACAAGATCTTCTAGAGACTTCTCTCTGCTAGGATGACTTCCAACTCGGAGCATCAGAAAATTGGCTGATGTGCTGATCTGGTCCTCTTTTCCACAACTCTTTGAGCACATGCTGTGGGTCGGGCACTGGCTGGGGGCTACAAACTTGGACTTTCTGTGGGGAGTGGGGGAGGATGGACTGACAGGTAGATAGCCATCGACAAAGTGCTCTGGGAAGTGCCATGCCAGAGGCCAGCCTAGGGATCCGGGGCCCAGGAGAAGACACAGAAAGTCTTAGTCTGCTCTAACAAAAATCCCACAAACTGGGTCATTTATAAATAACAGAAATGTATTTCTCACAGTTCCAGAAGGTGAAAAGTCAGAGAACAAGGCACTGGCAACCCTAGGTTGCTGGTAAGAAGCTGGTGAGAAGGTGTTCCCTAGATGGCCCCCTTCTTGCTGTGCCCTCACATCATGGAAGGGCGCGAGCTCCCTCTGGCCTCCTTCGTAAAGATACTAATCCCACCCAGGAAATCTCCATCCTCATGATCTCAGCACCTCCCAAAGGTCCCACCTCCTGATACCACCATCTTTGGGGGGTAGGACTGCAACCTGAATTTTGGGAAACACAAACATTCAGACCACAGCAGGCGTGTTGGGGAAGAGAAATTTGGGTTCTGTCCTGAGGGTCATGAGAGACAAGTGTTTCCAATGTGACCTGATCGCAGACCTACACCCCTGCACGCTCTGTCTCAGGTGCTGTGAGCAGGCTGACAAGATCTTGGTTTCCAGCAAGAACCAAACTTAGGAGTGCAGTGCTCTGGACCTTGAAGGAAGTTGAGCGACTTGGCCATGTCTTCTAGAGGTGCCTCATCGCGTCACTGAAGCATGCTTGCTACTTAGCCAAAGAATTAATTCAATATTATTAATATTAATAATATTGGGTATTAATTCAGTACTTGGTTCTTTTTCTTTCTTTTCTTTCCTTGATGCCTCAGAAAATCTGATAAAGGCTGTGAATCCTCTCCTAGAATGCACACATTCCCAAAATAATGCCTCCAACTTCAAGGCCTTCTTTAGAACTTCTGAAGACCCTCCTTGCAGCTGAAGGTAAAGGTCTCTGCTTTCAGTGGAGGTCCGGGCCTCCACCGGGGCATGTGGGTCTGCCTTGGATCTGGAAGGTTGGCCAGGTCAGCCTCCCTCCCTGCCGAGCCCCAGCAGACCACTCGCAAGACCACCCCTTGTTCTGGACATTGTGCCCTGACCTCCTTCGTCCCACTCGAGTTCCCAGGGAGCCTGTTGCTAATGCTGACCTGCGTCTTCCCCTTTTGCTGTCAGGTTTGGCCTCTGCAGTAGGTAGATTTCTAAGCCCGGTGCCCAGTGACCCTGACCCTCCTACACTGTCCTGCCCTTGGAGTGTGGGGGGTCCTGTGGTGAGATGCCACTTCCGTAATTATGTTCAGTTATACACAGAGGGAGACTCTGCAGCTAAGTCTACGTTCATCGTAGGAGCCCTTCAGAAGCAGAGAATGTTCTCTGCTCATCACAGAGGAGGAACCAGAGATTTGAAGCAGGAGGGGGATTTGAAGATTTCTTCCCCTGGGCCCTGCAGGAGAGCCCCATCTGGCTGAACACTTGATTTTGGCCTTGTAAAACCCTGAGCGAACAACTCAGGGAAGCCTGCCCGGACATCAGCCCTACACTGTAACGTAATAAATGGGTGTTCTTTGACGCTGCTGGCTTTGGGGTCATTTGCTCTGCAGGACTAGAAAACGAATATGAGACTTGATACCCCTTCTCCCTTAAGCAGCCTGCAGGGCCTTTGGAGGGAGCTGAATGAACATTCTCTGGCAAGACCCCGGGATTCCTGAAATTCCTGATTTCAGTTGGTCTCCCAACTCCGGGTCCTACCTCTGTGGGATTCCAGGGGCCCCTGGTTGTCCGAAGGAGCTCCCAGCCCCAGGGAAGTCAAGCACACTCCCTGCTCCCCATGTTCTGGTGCATGGTGGCTCACGCGCTGCTGGGAAGAGCGTTGGAAGACACAGTCTTACTATGGGGACCGAGGACGGCTTCCTGTCGAGTTGGGCATCTTCATCAACAGGGTAGAGGCTGCTAGGAGCAGCTCAATGTCTACTCCTTCCTTCTGGCTCCCATGAACAGAGCCCTGATGTTTGGCTAGGTGATGCTCCCCGTGGAAGGACTGCGTTTCCAGTATAACCTGCAGCTAGGTGTGCTCACTGGACTGGGTTCTGGCCAGTGAAAGATGAACAGAAAGAAGGACGCCATTCTCTGGGCTTGCAGGGACAGGGAACAGGTGGGCCCACCCTAGCCGCTGGCCTCTTTCCCATGAGTTCTGCGGCAGGCAGGGGAGTGATCGTCTTGAACCTGCAGATGTGAGCAGCCCGTCAAGGAAAGTAGAACAACGGGGCCCCTGGGTGCCTCAGATGGTTAATCATCTGCCTTTGGCTCAGGTCATGATCCCAGGGTCCTGGGATCAAGTCCGACATCAGGCCCCCTGCTCAGGAAGGAAGAACAAGACCGTGGGAGCCAGGGGCTTCCAGGAGCAGAGCCACCCCTCCACCACCCTCTCACCCCCAGCCGAGACGCAGCTGATGGAGCAACAGAAAAAGAACTTCTCTTGCTTAAACCAAGAGGGTCTCTTTCACAGCAAGCAGCCACCTACGGCGTATTCTAATGAACACAGTAGGGAATTCCTCTATTGCTTGATGACAAGCAACAGAGGAAGCAGTCCAACGGAGTGGACTTTAGCCGTCCTTCTCCATACACCACTACGATAACAGTAATGGACTGAAGAGGCTTAGCATCACATGGGCAAAGAGAAGGAAAGAGAAGATGACAGGAACACAACTTTGGGAGCCAGAGGTCACATGGACCCATGGTTCCACTGAGCAGTCCCAAGAAAGCTGAATCTTAAGTTGTCTTTGGAGAAGGAGAGAAAGAGGCTGCTCTCCCCTCTGGAGAGAAGGGGAGAAAGAGGCAGACCCCCAAGGGCTCCGCTCCTGGAAGGCGGCATGGGGTGGCCCAGAACAAGTCTGTTGGATGTCTCTTTAAGAACCAGGCAGATCCCCGTGGGTCCCCTCCAGCAGACAACTGGCACTTTATTTTTGGAAGCTTTGGGTCTCTGGGACAAAGTGCAGTGGCTTCCTATGAGAAATGCTGAGTTCCCATACAAGGGTGCAGACCCTCGATCTTCATGGATATCCGGAGCACTTGGCAGCCAAGTGGCAACAGCCAGAACAAAGAGGGGAGGATTCTTCTTTAAGAATTTTACCTGCCCCCAAAAAGAAATGTTCCCATTCTGACACATGGGGGAGGGGTGCTCACTGAAAGGATGAGCCTGGTCTGAGAGAGTGGAAAACAGTGGGTACAGAAAGGGGTCCTGAGGCAAGGGGACTGTGGCTGGCCCAGGAAGGACGCTCTGTTCCCTGAGTTCTGTTAGCACCCTGTCTGGGCCAGAGTGCAACTGCCCCTAGGAACAATGTGTTTACTTAAACTATAACCCCTGGAGGATTTTACTAGTTGCCAAGCACATTTAGGTACGGCCTTAAGAAAAACATACACTGGCAACAGGTCTTTGGGGAGAAGGACGATATACGACCGACCGTGAAGCTGGGCAGCTGGGGGTGCCCGGCCGGCTGAGGGCCGAACACCGCCTGCTTCCGGGAAGCCGAGCACCCGGGAACACCCTGTCAGCTCAGGGTGGAACGAAATACCACCTGCTTCCCTTTTCCTGTTGTTGCTCCTTTCTCTTCCCAGAAGAGCCCATTGTTAGTTAGTTGAGTCCTTTGAATGTGCTTGCTTAACTATAAACTTTACCCTCCTCCTCGTTTGTCCACAAGACACGTGACTAATGTTTGACCTTCATCAGTTCCTCTGTTGGCTATTGTTTCTATCTAATAAAAGTGAGACTGTGGAGCTGCTTGGGGCAGCAGTCTTTTCGACTGTCTTCCCCTGCTCCCAATCTCCTGCCGCTGACTTGTTTGTGCCTCATTCTCCTGTTCACCGACTGGAAGCGGCACGGAGGCCTGCCACCGTCCTCCTGCACCCCCACAGCAACTTCGGAGATGCCACAAAGGCACCCTGAATACGCACAGAGTGAGAACAGGGGGATCCAAGCAAGCAACGTTTAAACCACCCCTACCATGGTCAAGACATTACCTGTGCCTCATCTCATAGAATCTGCCCAGCATTCCAAGAAAGGCAATGCTGCTGCCCCAGTTTTAGAGATCTAGTTACGAGAACCTAGTAAGAGGCATCTAGGGGGCTCAGTCAGTGAAGGGTCTGCCTCTGGCTCAGGCCCTCAAAGGCCAGTCTGCCTC